ATAGATAGATAGATAGATAGATAGATAGATAGATAGATAGATAGATATAGACATGTATGTATGTACGTATAGAACACACACATAAATACTGTATCTTTTTGGGGTATTTTAATTACATTGCTATTTATTTCCTAATAAATAAAAATAATAAAATCTAATAAAATATGTGATTTGAAGTTAAAAATGGTGACATTGGTTTAATTGCATCATTTCACTGAAAACCTCTACAATCTAAAAAATGGATTCAACATATGAATTTTGTACACAAAAGTTTGGTTTTATTTTAAATAACTTTAACTTAGATGATGTGTTTGTCTCCTGGTTTGTTCTGCTCCTCGCACTTAATGAATCCTGAATCATCTGAGTTCTAGTAAAAAAACTGGAGTTCAAATCATAATATATGGATGGGGCCAATACGATACCAGCATAATTTACGTATCGGATAAGATGGTAAGATGGTGCCCATGTACATGGCTTGCAATCCACCTCTGCTGATGGTGTTCGGATTATTTTTGTTTTTTGCATTTCACATCTGTGACATCAACTCTCTGCTGGTGTATGACAGACAACAACTTTTGAATCTTCGTTTTTCTGGCACGGAAGCCGCTTATTTAGACCATTATCAGCGTACCTCTGGACCCCCACCCCCCCCTCCCTGCTGGCAGACGTGCCAGCTTACCTTCGCTGCACTCCTCGCCTGCCTGCCCGGGCATCTCGCTTCAGACGCCGGGGAAAATGTGCTGGTCAGCTGGTGAAGCTGAAAGCTCTGCGCGCTGCATCTTCCTCTCCAGCTGACGGTCATGGTCTCCAGCTTCCTGCGTGCCTGGACCAGGTAACCAGCGGGAGTTGTCAGCCGTTGCGCAGCTCGGACCGACCTGGAGGGGCTGTTATTGAAAACCTGCGGCCATTAGCGCGCGCTAACTCCACCGCTGCTGGCTCCACTTCGGACAATATCCGGATGTGTTTGGTCAACGCAAGATCTGTTACCAACAAAACTTTTATCCTCAGGGATTACTTTCAAGAGCACGATCTGGACTTTTTCTGCATCACAGAGACTTGGAGGTCTCCGGATGAGTCCAGCGCCTTGACGGAATTACTGCCACCGAACTGTTTGTGTTTTAATGCCCCGCGGCCATCAGGCCGGCACGGTGGTGGATTATTAACAATATTCAAATCAACTTTTGACTGTAAACAACTGCCCATCCCAGTTTCCTGTGCCAGCTTTGAGCTGAGCATCTTTGAACTTGGACATTCACCTCCGACGTTATTTGTACTCGTCTACCGCCCACCTCAATCTAAGGATTTCATAAATGAGTTTTCTGACTTCTTGGCTGAAATCACACCAAAATATGAGCATGTTTTCATTATTGGGGACTTTAATTTGCACGTGTGCTGTCCTGAGAAGCCCTTGGTTAAGGACTTTTTAGATTTATTGGACTCGTTTAATCTAACTCAGCATGTAAACGGACCCACCCAAGAGTGTGGACATACACTGGACCTTGTTTTAACTCATGATGTGACTGTTAATAATCTTGTTATTGGTGATAAAGTTTTTTCAGACCACATGCCAGTCCGGTTTGAGTTCACCCTCCCCCATCTAACTCCTAAGTCGTGCATTCTTGCACGTCGCACTCAGACCATTAACCACTTCACTGCCACACGTTTCACAGATGTTTATAACTCTGAAATGATCATTCAGGCCCCAGTGTTTCTCAGCACCACTGAGGAGCTGACATCCCAGTTCAACTCTGTCTGTTTAAAGACTGGATCATGTTGCGCCTGTTAAAACCAAAAAATCAAAACTCAGAGCAGAACCTTGGCTGAGTGACGTCACCAAGGCCGTTAGGCAACAATGTAGGAGGGCGGAACGAAAGTGGAGGAAAGACAGGCTGCAGGTCTCTTTTCAAATACTTAAAGAGAGTTGGCGCTGTTATCAGAAAACAGTAAAAGCTGCAAAATCAAAATTCTTCTCTGATATAATTCCCACTAACTCTCACAACCCACGTGTCCTCTTCTCCACCCTAAACTCTGTTCTCCACCTCACTGAACCATCACCTCTGGAAGCCTCGACTGAGCTGTGCGACAACTTCCTACATTTCTTTGTGGAAAAAAATGCGACCACCCGGGCTCTCATTTCCCCTCCAACTCATGACCCATCCATCCCACCTCAATCTGTAGCTCCTTTTGACCATTTTGAACCCATCACTCTATCTTCTCTAGAGCAGGTCATGTGCAGCTTGAAACCTTCTGGCTCCCCCTTTGATGTGGTCCCCCCTCGACTACTAAAGGAGGTTTTTCTAACTCTAGGTCCATCCATTCTTGATATAGTAAACAGTAGCTTATCCACTGGCGTGGTGCCAAAATCCTTTAAACATGTTGCTGTCCAGCCTCTCCTGAAAAAAACAAACCTTGACCCCTCAGTCGTTTCCAACTACCAGCCTGTCTCCAAACTCCCATTTGTTTCTAAAGTACTGGAGAAAATAGTCGAGTCCCAGTTGAAGTGCTTCCTGGAGGATCACACCATCTTAGAGCTTTTCCAATCTGGCTTTAAACCTCTCCACAGCACTGAAACTGCCCTGCTGAAGGTCTTTAACGACATCTTCAGATCCACAGATACCGGTGATTCTGTGCTGCTTGTCCTGTTGGACCTCACAGCTGCCTTTGACACCATCGACCATGAGATCCTCATTGCTAGGTTGGAGCAGTGGGTGGGCGTCACAGGATCAGCCCTCAATTGCTCCTCACAGTTCTAGGAACTCATCTTAAGCGCAGAGGTGACAGGGCCTTCTCTGTAGCAGGACCAAGACTCTGGAACGAGTTACCTCTGCTTGTCAGACAGGCCCCCTCCCTCTCGGTTTTCAAGTCCCGTTTAAAAACTCACTATTCAATAGCTTTCAACACAAGATGATCTGTGTTTTGATCCTGATGCTCCACACTGGTTTGTCGTCATCTGCATCGTTTTTTTTTTTTGTCTATATTCTGATTTACCTCATTTTGTATTTTGCTTTGTGTGTTACCTGTTGTTTTGTCTGTACAGCACTTTGGTTGGCCTTGTTGCTGTTTTAAGTGCTTTATTTATAAAGTGGTATGGTATGGATATTCCGATCCACCTGCCAATATTTCCGATCCATGATGCATGTTGGCTTCAAACTATGGAATGATTTCCTGAAAGGCGGCGTCTCATGAACCCAGAGTAATAAGACCCGCCTCACATTCAGGAAATCCAGTTCATAGTTTGCAGCCAGCTACAACGTGTGGACTGAGTTAGCAACACTGTGGCTAACAGCTAACAAACTTTTCATCTAAACATGTCCGCTGTGTGGAAGTATTTTACACTAGAAACACCACAAAACAAGACAGCAACGTGCAATGTCTGCAGAGCCATAGCACCACATTAAACCACGATAAAGTTAGTTTTACGATGGACATTTGAGCTCCGTGGCTTCAGCGGGGCGCTGCTCTTTGCTCAACCGAAAGAGGCGACTCAACACCGGCCAGCCACGTCCAATCTGCCCCGCTCAGTCTGCCCATCTTTGAGGAGGGACAGACTGAGCGCGGCTGCACCAAATCAGACTGCCTGCTTCTGATTGAACAAGAAGAAGACATCGCTGAAAGCACGGAGCTCAAATGTTTACAGAGAAGTTGCTAAACTTAATCATAATTAATGACCAACCACTATCAGTTGTAGAAAATGAAGGATTTTGCAGTTTGATACTTGCAGTCAAGATATAGTTTACCCTCCAGGAGATATCAGTACAACAGTAGACAATCATAAAAAACATATTTGAAAATTTGTCAAGGATCTGATGGCAGAGGATCCCACACACAAACTCAGAATGGTTTTAAAAATGTTTATTGAATGAATAAACAGCTTCTGATGATTCGGGTCCAGAGCTGGAACTGTGTCTAAAACGATACAGAGGAGAGGTTAGTGTTTTGACAGAATAACAGTTATCTGAATACAGACGGTCTGGAAACACACTAACCTTTCTTGTTGTCGGGGGCTGCTCAGCAGAGACACAGAGCTGCAGGGACCAAGGAGAATCCAGAGGCGTAGTCAAGGACGAGCAGAGTTCATTAACGGGATCCGAAAAGGCGACAGTACCAAAAGGGAGAGGCGAAGGCGAAATCCAAAAACGTGCAAAGGTCATTAACAAGGTCTGAAGGGCTGAGGTACAAAAGGGGCAGGCAAAAAGCGTGGTCGAGGAAACAGGCGTGGGTCAAGATACGAAGAGCTGCGAGACTATGGAAACGCTGGATAACTGTGACAAAAGCAAGCAGTTGATCTGGCAAAGAGTGAAGAAAGCAGGAAGTATAAATACACCCAGAAACAGGTGGAGACCATCAGCAGTAATCAGAGAGAGAGAGAGAGGTGTGACATGCAGCAGGCTGTCAGAAACAGCAGAGGAAAATACCAGAGGAGCAGAGAAGAATATCAAACAGTGAACAGAGTGATAAATAAAAGGAAAAACAGAGTGTAAACTGTGACAAAATTATATATATTAAAAACAAACAGCTACATTATAAAGTGATGTAAAATACTAAAAACAGGAACATGTCTGTTGGTTTATGCCATGAATTTAGCAGATGTTTGAAGCCATTTAACTTTTTATTTAATTTGATTCATTTATTCATTCATTTAAATTAAACAAAATTTAAAAATAAATCATCAAAAAGAAAACACTGAATGAAAAGAGTGCAGAAAGTAGAAAAAATTATTATATCTGCCCCTTATAAAATATAAAACAACTTTAAACAATCACTTAAATTAATCACTTTAATATCCACTTTAAAGCTAGGAATAAAATGAAACATGTTTTGTGTTAGCAGAATTTAATTCTAACTTTAAAACTTATCCAACATTAATAAAACTTACCTCAAGTTGCCTTTTTGGACATGCATGCATTATTTGTACAAATTGTACTTGAGAGGAGATTATTACAGCCTCACATAAAATCAATGATGATCATGATATCGGAACTGGATCGGTATCGGCTGATATTCAGATCTAGGTATCGGGATCGGATCAGAAGTAAAAAAAAAAAGTGGATCGGTGCATCCCTATCATAAAATGATCAGGAAAACATGCAGCAGTAACAAGATCTTTTTTTATTATTTATTTTTGCAGATAGGTATTCAAATATCCCCCAGCTGTAAACAAAAATCAGCCATAACTTTACAACCACCCACTTCCTGCTGGATAGATCAAGATCAGCCCAGACCAGTGAAGGTGGACAAAGGACATCTGTCCTAAATGGTCCACTGTCAGGACTGTTTTTATGTGTCTTTAACTTGCAAACTTTCCATCACGGTAAAGAAAATCTAAAGTGAAATTAACTGCACACTGGCACAAACAGGCCAGTCAAGTTCAGCTGTGAGCTATTTCCTGATTTTAGGTCAGATTATAGTTATACTCAAAGCACAGTCTAAGTGTGATATATCACAACAGCAAAAAAAAAAAAAAGTGACAACAAGAAAATAAAAACACTTGCGTAAATGGATGTAGCACAAAGACACTTTAAAACTGCATGAAGGTGGTAAAAATCAATAAGTCACATTTTCTGCTTCACAGATCTACGTCTTCCTTTTTACAGAAAAAATAGTCATTGATTTTGATCACTAGTCCCTTTTACGCTGCTGCGTAGGTTAGAACCCTAAAGCTCCCCAATATTTGAAAAACAATAAATATCCTCTTGAATATTTCCTGTGGGTT